AATACTATCTATCGCCTTATGATTAAATTTTTTGTTCTATTTTAACATCGAGTTTAAGTAAAACGATTTGATGTTTGAAGAACATAAACCTAAAAGAACTTTTCGTTATTAATTTATCTTGCATAAAAACAGATTTGATTTAAAAGCGAATCGGAACTAACATTGATACAAATGAAATTTAATTTTTTATGAGTTCTATTCGATACTGGAAATGATTTATTTTCTCTGTAACTTATTTAACTACAGAATTGTTTAATTTCTTTTTCGAAAATTCCAGTGGTTTTTACTATAGTATGTTATCCAAAATAATCTATCATCAGACAAAAATTCTCATTTATAGAATAGACTCAAGGTTTCTCAGTACATTATTTATTATCAATAAATTCTTTGAGATCAATGTGACAAAAGAAAAACTTCACAGCTAATGAGAGAAATACCCGGAGTATCTAGTATCTGTTTGATTCATTCATATCCCATTCGATAGAATACATAATGATAAGTAAAAGTTTACAAGGGTTTGAGAGCATGTCATATTGGCAAGAAGTTACAACCGTTTTACTGAGTGCCAGACATTCTCGAAAAAAACTAGAATAAAGAATTTTGATCTGAGAAACGCCGCCTATATATTCGTCATTATATAAATTTTCTTGAGAAAGACATGTTTTTTTACCTGCAATTTTCAGGAATATCTAGTAATGCTATAAAATGGTTCTCACTTCTCACCAGTAGGCCATGTACTCAAACTACTTAAGACTTCTTTTTTTATCTCTGTAGAGTCTATCAAATAAGGTATAAATAACTCAAAACGGAACTGCATACCTTGGGTACTTTCTTTGTAAGTATTCTTATATTATCTATACAATATGACTTCTTTTCAAGTATTCTTCTTCAAAGATATGTAATCAAATACAAGAAAGAAGAAAGTTTTTGATAATTTTCCTCAGAATATTTCACTTGAATAAGTAACATGAATCATATATTCTTTTACTTAATATATCACTTGATTTTATGCTATAATATTCATCAAATTCTTTTCGAGAAAATGGAAGAAACCAATTATTTAGATTGTCAATGTTACATTACAACATCATAGATTTTTTTTCTACTATTTGTAAGAACAGAATATTTAAGCTGACGAATGACGTCAAAGCAATGCTATTATCAGAAAAATCTGCCAGATCTGTTGTAGTAGCTCGAAGCAGCTAAAACTGGCGAGATGTTATGATTTTTGCAAATAGAGAATATCTTTTTTTCTAAGAAAATGCAAAAAAGAGAATTTCAGCTGTACTAGAAGAAAATAAAAAAAATTCCATAATTGGAATGTGTTACACGTCCTTGGTCAGGTTAATGTTGCAGATATCATTTAAATATCCATCAAGAATTTTCAATTATGTTTGACATAAAATAATATTCAAAATAGATTTTGTTTGTCTTTTTATTTTAGACACATCTTTTACTATTAGTACGAGCTGGTAAAAATTATCAAAGGAAATCTTTCAAGTATTTTTACATTATCATATTCAATTAATCTATTCCTGTTTTTTATTAAACAAATATGACAACATTTTTTTCTTTGTCATTACACGAAGGTTTGAAGGTTAAGCGGAAGCTTTTTCAAACAATGTTTCAGAATCATCGAAGAGGTCTTTCCTTCCCATACTTTTGTTATTTTTGCTGATTCCATCTCAATTCAGTATATGAAAAGAATTAACAATTCATTTGAAATGAAAATTTATAATTATGGAGATTTCTTATATGATTATTGATAAATTTGATGAAATATTAGCTGATTATTTAACACATAGAGTAATTGAGAGATCGAGAATATAATATCATGAAATTTGGTTAAATTTTGAATTTAATACGGTGAATAAGTGCTTTTATCTATGCTTTACCAGATAAAATGCACTATTATAGACATATTATTTGAATAATGTAAACAAAGTATGTTGAATACAATGATTGCCAGAGATTACAGAAGAATTTGATTCATTATTTAGCAATTAATTATGCTCGACTTTACAGTTCAAAATGTTATTTCTAAGATAAACAAGACGTGAGAAATATGATTTTCTTTCTCGTTTGTTTTTTTTTTCACTAGTTATATATATGCATTTGCTGATATAGATCGAAAAACAGACCGTTAATATAAAGCATTATTATTCTAATCATACTTAAATTTATTTCTCTTATTATTTTATCGTTTGTATTTTGTCACCTATGATTGAGACTTTGCTTTTTCATTTATGAAATAAAAAGAAACTATTTATTTTTATTAAATAGACACAAAAGAAAAAAAAATTAATCTTCGTTCTTGAGACATAGAGTTTTTACTAGTTTATTCGTCCAACTTAATTCCCATGAAAAAATCTATTGTTGAGTTCAAATTTTTCTATGAAAAAAGTTCTATATGAGATTAGCTCATCGGACAAGTTTTGGTTTTGTTAATATTTCCTTTTCTAACATATTCAATATTCGAAATTCTCTCATGTGTAAAAATAAATTTTGTTCATATATTTACATCTCAAAAAAGGAAATACTAGTTACATAATCAACTAATCTCATTTAGAACTTCAGTCATGCAAAGTTTGAAATCGAAAGTTGATTATCCGAGTGACTTGACAAGGACGAACAGTCTAGGAAAATTTCAATATCTCGAGAATCAAAGCTTATAAAACTAAACCACTATAGGCTTTTCTATTACACGTCTAATACATATCGTCTTGATCGAAAAGTGATTTAACATCTGGAGAAGTTTTATAAGATATTTTGTATTGTTTTTTCAGATTAACCATATATCATTGTCATTAGAACCTATTTATCTGAACAATCAATAGAAGATTACTGTAATAAACTAGTTTAATCCTGATATCATTTAATGTAAGTATAGACTCATTGAAAATGTATTGATTTTATTATTCACCAATTCAATTGTTCAAAGTTTTTCTTTCTTTTTTTTTTCTTATTATCAATGAAATTTTGCATTTTTATAACTGTTTCATCCAATGATTGATAATCAAAAAGTATTATCGTCATGCATTGAAGACATATAACAAAAACAGATGAATCCCATAGCATACTCGAGAGTTTTACTAATAATCTGATGCGATGATAATTGAAAATTAATAAGTATTGTATATCAATATTCAAATTATATAGCAAAATATCAATGTTCGATAGTTTGGTTCTTTTTTTTTTACGATGACAATCCATTAGAATAATCTATAAGAGCCATATAAAAAAAAAATGGTTCATTAATGAGTTTATTTGCCTATGTAAATGCATTGATGTCGAGGGAAAATACCGTAAAATAGAATCCATTAAAATAATCCCTGGATTATTTATTTCAGACTAAGAAAAAAGCTATCACTGTTTTCTATCTAAGAGATTTTTATATAAATCATTGATTATATTCTTACTTTCGTAAATATAAAACAATCATGAAATAACAAAGACATTGACATGTTATATGTCATTTTTCACTCTTATACATATAGTTGATATTTTTTTTCTCTTGGGTTCTAGTCTGTTTCTTTTTATCATAGGATATATTTGTTAATATTCTTCTGTGTTGTAGAAAAGTTTTTATATTATGATTATTAGACATGATGAATGAGAGCTAATATATTTTTTTCATGGAAAATCATTACTTATACTCTAAAAGACTGTTCAGGATAGTCAAAAAGAGAAGTCAATCAGTGTACTGTGAAGAAAGGAAAAAGAAAAAGAAAAGAACCAATATTTTAACTGTCATGTAGTTGTGTTATGAGCTCTATCAGAAATTCATGGAATAGTATGCACGCTTTGCTCTTCAAGCTAATTCCGTCTTGATTTATGCATATATATATATTTATGCATATATATATTTGTGCATGTGTTTCTCAGTGTGCGATATCATGGAAAAAAAAGAAAGAAATAATTTATGTCATGTACATAGAAATGTTAGTTGTTGATGAAATATGCATGTAAAATTAGATGGATGACATAGAATAAGAAGTAGTTGCGATTTTGCTTTTCTCTTTAGTTATTGGTGAAGATGATGATGCTGATGATGATGCTAGAGGGTTTTCTACTAGTGTACCAGACGGAAGAGATAGGAAATAACAACGAATCAACATACAGCCATTCCGTTATTACTATAAGCGTGCACGACAATTCTTCCTCTTACTGTTAGTTCAAATCTTTTTTTTTTTCTCATGCTCACAATAGTCTCGAAGCCTCATTACTCATATCTTGATTCTCTTCTCACGCCCTTTTCTTTTGCTCTTTTTTTCATTTCGAACTAGAGGACCAACCATAGACTCATTGTAATTGTAAATTGCCTTCAAATGGTACATCGCATTCTTTTTTTGATTATGTACATCCTTTCTTTTTTCTTGTTTTGATTTAAAATATCATTTTTTTTTTTTGTTTTATGAATATGCAAATGTCAGCTTATTATCTTAAAGATTCTATTTAGTAAATGTAGAAGAAAAGAGAGAAAAAGAAAAATATAAGATTCTGTTCTTTCTCGTGTGCTTCGTTAACGTCTACTGTGAAATAAAAGACCAGAGGTAACTTACAAAAATAAAACGCACACTGTTCGTACTTTCACAACTTTCCTTTTTCCTTTTTTCATAGCACATGTGGCATCAACAATGAAAGAAAAAAAAAACATTGCATCGTATTCCAAATATAGTTATCTTGTTGAAGCTAAAATATTTGATTAAAAAATATGTCACAATATAGAGTCAGAAAGACAAACAGCAAATACAGCAGACATAAATAAACAATGATAAAGTAAAGAATTAGCGTTTGAGAGCTCTAAGAAAGACAAAGAATTTTTTTTCATCAGTCGTTGCAGACTTTTAACTATATGTCAATGGAAAGAGAACGATAAAAATATAAAAAATGAGAAAAGAACGAGAACTAAAGACAATAACATTATCAGTGTAAAGTGTGTTGGAAAATATTTTTAGCATTGTAAGCTTTTTTAGATGAATTAATCTTTTTGGTTATATATGGCGTCGTCATCGTCCTCAAATAAAACGCCAATGATCAATAAACATAAAAATAATTATTTTTTTTATGGCACTCATCCATTAAAAGTACCCAATACACTTGTTCATGCTAATTCAACAACAAGTTTATCTACATCAAGTACAGGTGGTCAAAATCTGAATCATTTATCACTTGATATACCAAATAGTAATCATAATAATTTTCGTCATGGATATTCATCAACAACAGATCTAACAACAACAAAATCATTACATAATCTAGCAGAATCTCGCAAAGACGATGACGATAATAATGAGGTAATACAACAAAAAAAAAAGAAACAAAAAAAAAAAAACTAAAAAAACAAATACGAAATTATTATCTTTGTTTATCACAGATATATGTCATTGTCCAAATAATATCATTATCAGTTTGAACATCAACATATGACGTTGTTGTTGATTCATAAGTATTTGATGAACTAACAAGTTTAGTCAAACTTAATTCTTGAGTTTTATTTATATTCCATCGAAGTCCTTCAGTTTGCACATGTGCTGATTGACCTATTGGTAATAAACTACATATATTACCATTATATATTGATTGTATATGAATTCTATTTAGTTTATTTGCATGTAATAAAAAAGTAATGTCATGATCAGTTATTAAATATATTTGTAAATTAGGATAATTATCATTAAGTATATATAATGTATGTATTATGCCTATCGTGTGATCAAATCGACCACCTAATGAACAAAAAACTAAAAGATTATTTAATGTAGAATTTTTTTCCATCATAACACGAACACATTTTGTAAAATCTGTTGCATTTTGATCATTAGTTTTAATAAAATTAATAGTTGATATTGATCTATAATATTCATATGTTTGTTGATTAATTGAATCAAAATCACCACTTATATAATCGGGTAAAAAATTTTCATTGATTTCATCCGAATAAATTTTAAGTATATTTGAACCACCATCAGCACATGCACGAATATGAGCTTTTTCCCATATATTTTTTTTTAATAAATTTCGTAGACTATCCAATGAATAATTAAGTATTATAATACCATAGTTGAATGAAGTATTTGATTCAAAAAATGAATAGGGATTATAATCTTGACGAAGCATTTACTTTGTTTTTTTTTCTTTTCTTATTCTATGTTGAAAAATGGTATAGAATATATATGATAAGTTTTTGTTGTGTGAACATTCATTACATTCTCATCTCTAAGTCAATGAGTTTGTTTTTTTTTCAATTCATTTATTATTATGGTCAATTAATTATGCATAGAACATATACATAGAAAAGAAAAATAAAATAATCTATTGGACCATACGAGCTCGAGTTGTCTTTTATTGAAATTTACGCAAAATAAAAAGTATGTATAATGATGTATGTTTAATGTCATCCATTTTTATTTTCTAACGCAGAATGTGATGAGAGGAGGCACAGAAAAGCAAGAAAGAAAGAAAGAAAGAAAGAAAAAATAATAATCTTATCAGGAAAAAAAAATGACTCTTTGCTTTTGTTTTGTGATTATACAGCAACTGTCTGTCATCTGTTAGGAAATAGGAGACATCTGTACATATTTAGGTGATCGATATAAATAAGAGGAATGAAAGCAAGAATAAATTAGTAATCAAACAATAACACTTGCAGGAAAAAATGAATTCCTGTCTGAAAAACATTCTGTTATAAAATAAGAACACGATAACATATGAAATTCTAATCGAAGTAATACAATACTAGGAAAAAAGATTAGTTTCAAAAAAAAAAACAACAGCCAATATAATTGGCCTTGGAAACTATCAGAAAAGATTACTCAGGATTTAAGATTAATTTTTTTTCTAATAAAATGAATTCAAAATTCAATGAATAATATAATGAATAAATTCCTTGAGATAATATTAGATCCTATTTTTATATCTATTTGTTTTAGGTATTCGAAGATGCATTAGAAAGCTTTGATGATGATAATGATAATCCTCAAAAAACATATCTAAATAAGTTTGTTGATTCCGAAAATATTTATCCTATGCTTATATTTTTAAATCTTCAGTAGACCATCATTATCAAAAACACACGAAGAGTCCACAAATGAGCTTGCTCAATCATTAGTCGAATGTCAACAAATCACTCAACTTATATTTGAAAATCGTCTTAATGAAGCACTTAGAAAAACTAAAGAACAGTATGTATATATGCCATCAATCGAAATTATTATGGAATGCATATTTATATATTCTTTCTTCAATAGGGAAAATCGTTCTTTATATCATAGTTTATTGCATAGTACAATAAGTTTTATGCAAGCTGGAATGACATTTAATCATGTAAAAGTTAATTAATATTATCTTGTATAGATATTATTCCTTGTCTAATATTTAGGATGATATTGAAGCAACAATTCAAGCATTACGTCATACAACAAATATTGCGAAAAAATATGAACCATATCGACCATGGATAACATTTAGTTTAACATCAAAAACTGTTATGACTGAAGGTGAGTTATTAAAAATTTAGTTGTTTTTTATTGTTGAATTAATTATTATTCGATTAAATTCATTTAATTTTATTTGTTCTAATGGAATAATTGGAGTTGAACGAAAGAGTTCTTCAATTTGTTGATCAAATTTTTTCTTCGATCGATTTCGATTTGAAATTTTAAACATATTTTCATTAAAATTTTGAGCTGAATTTTTTATTTCCTTTGAAAGAATAATAGTTCTTGGACGTCGTTTATAATGGTAAAGAAATAATACAATTATTGTACAACATGCAACAAATATTGTACCAAAAGATATACATGTCCATACTTTTCGATTGCAATAATCAATAGGAAAACGATTCATCGAATATGATCATCATTGATAAATAGAATAGAGCTATGAAATTTAAGATAAGAAATATAATCACAATATTTTTTATAGGATTTTTCGTTTTGTTTTTTTTTGAATTTAATAATAATAGATTCGCGCATTCATTTTTTTTGTCGATATCTTAGATGAATTACATGCAAAATTAGTTTATGCTGAAGCATTACTTATTCGAGCATTATTAACATTTATTCAAGATCAAGGATTATTTAGTTTTATAAGTGGTGCCCTAAAAATTAAAGAATGTCATGATCTATTTGCGTAAGTTTTTTATACAAATAAATATTTTGTAATAATTTCAACTTTTAGAAAACTAGCAAAAAATAATGATCCGTCCAGATTTTCATCGACTTTATCACACGAACATTTTGATAGTGGAGTTCGAATGGGTAATGGTGCATTTAATTTGGTATTAAACAAAAAATAATTCAAATTTGTGTAGTAAGATTATTTTTTATTATAATATTCATATTTAGATGATTGCTAATCTACCACAACGAATTATTCGTTGTCTGGAATTCGCTGGTTTTTCCGGAGATAAAGTAAGATATTATGAAATATGTGAAGATTTGAACAGAAGAGATTCTTCTAGAACTTTGGTCTTAACGAACTTGAGAAAAGTGCAATGAGCAACGGTTTACGAGCACCATTATCAGCTTTATTGCTTCTTGGTTATCATACCTTTGCTGCACATATATTTGGTAATTTCAAAAACAAATAAAACAAGAATTATTCTTTACGACAATAGAAAACTTTTCTTTTTAGGAAATAGTGATGGTGATCTTGAAAAATCACATATGTTAATTGAACATTATTTAAAAAAAAATTCAAATGTAAGTTCACTTTTTTTTTCTCAAGACTTTTTATTCCATTGATCTAATCAATTATTTCAGAAAAAAAAGGCTGTCACTTGATATATGTAAAAATTATAGATAGAGAGAGATAGAAAAACCAAGGGATGCTTTATAATATGAATTCGTTTGAATACTCCAATGCTTTTATTTTATTTGTCGATAGATAAAATAAGTTTTAAATAGATATTCGTCTTGTGTGTTGTTGATTAATTGAAAAAGAATTAATATTATTTCGTATTTCAATTATGCATCCTTGATCGGCACAATCAGTTAAAGGTTTAATACATGGCGAAGGAACAGGAAAACAAAGTGGAATAGGTATAGCCAATGGAATAAAACTTGGTAGAATACATGTATGATTTGATAATAAGTCTTTTGTTAGCATTGGAAATAGAGTTGATGATGTTGGTCTAAAAAGTAATGGCGGAGATAGTTGTTGAAGAGAAGGAATAGTAGCAAATGGATATTGAAAATGATTAAAACCAATGGGAACTGGTGGAGAGAAACGAGAAGATGAACAAGTGAAATTTCTGAGACGATTAGTTGGCATTGTTTCATTTGAAGAAGACGATGATCGATATCGTTTTAATGATGGTAAACGAGAGAACTTTCGAGATATTTCATTCTTATGTATTTTTGATTTCCTGGATGACAAACGTTTTTGTTGATGATTATGTTTATTGTCACTTATTTTCGGTTTTGATATTTTCTCTGATATTGCAAAATTTGTAGACTACAAAAAAACTAAGTGCATCTTTATAAAAAATATAATTCTTTTAGTTTTACTTTGATTTTAATTGTTTGATGAGTTTTTAATGACTTTTTATCCTAAAAACTAAATTTTATACAGATAGAATAAAAATTAAAGTTTCAAACTTTATTTTTTTTAAATGAAGCACGACGATATTGATTAAAACAAACTTCACTACATAATATTTTCGTATCATCATTATCATTATTGAACATAAAAGATTTTCTACCTAATTTTTGACACCAAGTACATATTGATGCTAAATAATAATTAATAAAAAAAAAAATTTATTCTTTTTTCTTTCTAAAATAAAACATTTACATTCTTGTTCTTGATTAACTAACAAATTTGTCATGGAATCATTCGTTGAAGTAGTTTTTAAGTTTTTTATTTGATTACAATCATACAGATGAAGTGATTCTTTAACTTTCGTTGAAGAATAAGTCTTTGAATAATATAGAATAGGCATGAACTAAAAAAAAAAAATAAAAATCTTTTACCTGAATTTCGTTAGGTTCATCTTTAATTTTTATATTTGTTTTCATAATTTAAAACAGTTTGATCATAGAATTTCTTATTTGTCTATCTGCCAAGCAGTAATACGATGAATGATAGAATAAGAAAAGAGGTCAAAATAGAATTAGATTTCTGTAGCATTCGATTTCGATATCTGATTTCTTCTTTACGTTTGCAATGTTGTCCTATCGAATTACTACATTTATTCATTCTATAGTGCAGTCCAGTAATGGTTATTGGTTAGGCTCCTATTGATGCTTTTACGTATTATTTCTATTCTTATCGTTTATACCTTGTATATAATCCCTTTTCTATTGAATTATATTCAAATTACCTTTTGATTTTT